CGAAGTCGGCCACTTAACCGACTGAGCCACCCAGGTGCCCCTCATTTTCTGTGTTTAAAACATCTTATCTCTATCTGAAATTTATTTTGGTGTGAGATGCGAGGCATAGGTCATTAGTTTTTCCTGATGGCTTCTTAACTGTCCCAGTTAACTAAATAAATCCGTGAGATGAATATAGAACCAAGTTAAAAAAAAAATCAATCAAAAAATCATTTTGTGATTTTATTACAATTACATTACATTTTAGATTCATCACTTGGAAAGAATTGGCATGTTTATTGTACTGAGCTTTCCTATCTAGGAATATGGTATATCATCTATTTTTATTATTATGGTAAAATAGAATATAAAATTTACCATGTTACCATTTTTAAGCATACACTCACATTGTTGTGCAAATATCACCACCAACCATCTCTAGAAGTTTTTCGAACTGCAGGTCTGTACCCATTAAGTAATGATTCTCCATGTCTTCCTCCTCTAGCCTCTGGCAGCCACCTTTATTCTGTATTTTTTTCATGCCCTCTAGTAGTTTTACTGATTTATTTAAATTTCATATAGGTGTTACACATTTCGGAAGTTTATTCCAAGGTATTATATTATTTTTGGTGCCATTGTGAATGATATCTTTTCTTCCCCTGCTCCAGATTTTCAGTGGTTACTTTCTTTTAAAATGTTTTATTTTGGAATGATTTTAGATTTACAGAAAACTTGCATCGGTAATGCAAAGAATTCCTGTATATTCCTGACCCAGTTTCCCCAAATGTTAACCCTATGTTACCATGGTATATTTGTCAAAACTAAGAAATCAATGTTGGTACATAGCTATTAACTAAATGCCAGACTTTATTGATTTCACCACTTTTCCCACTAATGTCCTTTTTTCTGTTTAAGGATCCATTCCAGGATAACATGTTGCATTTAGTAACAGATTACTCCTTAAAATTTCTATCATATATATAGCTACATTCCCTTTCTTATTCCAAATGCTGTTTTGTGCAGTTTTCCCCCTGAGTTTTCTTTAGGCTTGTTAAAGGTATGTTCATTTTTGTTGATCATTCTGAAAACCTGTGTTTGGTTATATTTATTGGTTTCTAGGTTGTTTTTTTTAATGTGTTTATTTTTGCTTTTGCATTTATTCCTCCTATATTTTCTGGTTAATTTTGTCATTTTTCTAGTTCTTTGAATTGAATGGTCAATGTATTTCTAGCTTTTTTTTTGCTCAACAATAAAATAATTTGCAGATTGTAAGTTTATAACTTTGGCCTTTCCAATAATAAGATTCTCATATAAAGGCATTGTATTTGCTTTTTATTTCTAAATTTCTAATTTTAATTTTGATTTATTCTTTTTTTTTTTTAATTTTTTTTTTCAACGTTTATTTATTTTTGGGACAGAGAGAGACAGAACATGAACGGGGGAGGGGCAGAGAGAGAGGGAGACACAGAATCGGAAACAGGCTCCAGGCTCTGAGCCATCAGCCCAGAGCCCAACGCAGGGCTCGAACTCACGGACCGCAAGATCGTGACCTGGCTGAAATCGTACGCTTAACTGACTGCGCCACCCAGGCGCCCCTGATTTATTCTTTGACTTAAGAGTTCTTTGGAAGATTATTTTTTTGGGGGCGCCTGGGTGGCTCGGTCGGTTAAGCGTCCAACTTCGGCTCAGGTCATGATCTCACGGTCCGTGAGTTCGAGCCCCGCGTTGAGCTCTGTGCTGACCACTCAGAGCCTGGAGCCTGTTTCAGATTCTGTGTCTCCCTCTCTCTCTGCCCCTCCCCCATTCATGCTCTGTCTCTCTCTGTCTCAAAAATAAATAAATGTTAAAAAAAAAGTTATTTTTTTTAATAGGAGTGACATGATTTCTTTGGTTTATTTGCATTTGTACATCTCAAGTTTCACTGAAATTGTGACCAGTAAGTATAGCCTGTGTACATTTTGGAACTAATTGAGATATCTTTGTGATGTAATAATCAGTTATTAAAAACCTTTAAAAAATGTTTTATGGGCATTTGAAAAGAATATGTATATAGGATGCAAAGTGATTTTTTTTTACTTATTTGTTTATTTACTTTTAGGTCAAATTTGTTAGTATATTATGAAGAATATAAGCAAAGGTGTCATAACAGAGACCTCAAATAACTATCACAAATAAGAGAATGAAATGGTCTACAGGTAGACGATAGGCAGCTGTATTCCACAAGGTGATTCTGGGACCTACATTTCT